TAATTAATTAAATATTATTGGTCACGACATAAGAAGGGAAACAATCCTAGCACATGATGATAACGGGAAGGTTGGAGAGAGAGAGAGAGAGGGAGAGAGAGAGAGAGAGAGAGACAGAGAGGGAGACAGAGAGAGAGAGAGAGAGAGAGACAGAGACAGAGAGAGAGAGAGGGGGGAGACAGAGAGAGAGAGAGACAGAGAGAGAGAGAGAGAGAGAGAGAGAGAGAGAGAAGACAGAGAGAGAGAGAGAGAGAGAGAGAGAGGGGGGAGACAGAGAGAGAGAGAGAGACAGAGAGAGAGAGAGAGAGAGAGAGAGAGAGAGAGAGAGACAGAGACAGAGAGAGAGAGAGAGAGAGAGAGGGGGGAGACAGAGAGAGAGACAGAGAGAGAGAGAGAGAGACAGAGAGAGAGAGAGAGAGAGAGAGAGAGAGAGAGAGGAGTAGACGCAGACCATGAGATAACTTGCAGGACAGTCTGACACCGTGCTATAGGGGATCATCTGTACCAAGAATAATTAAAAGCTGGATGTGACAAGAATGTCACAAGTCATTAACTAAAAAAGAGAAGATCGATCGATCGGTTTTTTCCTCCTCCGACTGCTTGCTGAGTGGTCTGGAGGCATAACGTCTGTCTTGAGTGCTGGAGGTCCCGGGTTCAATCCCCGGTGAAGGCTTGGATTTTTTTTCACGTGGACTTCTAAAAATTCCACCCGCACCCCTCCACCCGGTCTCTGGGTAGTAAGATCGAACGCCCGTGTGTATTTTGGCTAACGTAAAAAATTTTCCCCGGCAGTTGACATTCGAAAATCTACTTAAAGTATTTCAGAATCCTTGCCGGTGCTACGGAGTTCGTGCACTGCGCTGAGATTCTTCGGACTCAGACTTGAGTTAGAAGTAGAACGGAGCACATATGGGTTACTACCCCTTGTGCCATAAAGTTGATCTCTTGTATAAACCAAACCAAACGAAAACTGAGCACTGTGTGGGTAAGGCCGAAAGATTCATTAGAACATGATATATAAAAAAAAGTAAAGAACCCTTTTCCACGCCTTTATGCGAATAGGGCATATAGGGCTAGACCTATATTTTTAAAGACCAATCGGCACAAGATGGCTGATGTGCTTAGCATCACGCTGGCCGACTTTACCTCCCGGGACTGCACCTGGTACCCACCTAAGACTGGGTCTACCTGGGAGCCAAAGTCATTTTTGAAAGAAGACCCGCTCCATGTACAAGACGTAGTTCGTCCCAATTATAAAAGCCAACGAGGTATTTTTTAAATGATTAGTTTGTACATGTGCCGTTGGGGTTTGCCCAGATTCTTAAGAGAGGCGCGCCTGAAGAAAAAAAAAAAAGATTAGAGACCACTGATTTAGATACACACCCAGCAACCATGTCAAAAGAATAACTAGAATGTTTTTTTTGATGGAATCAACAGGATTACACACTTGTTAGGAAGAGAACATCGGAGATTTGTGGCATCGCTAGATTTCATTACCAAATAAAGAAAAAACAGTTCAGCACTTTAACATATCAACCGGTACTACAACGAACAATGATGTATAGACGAAGAAGGGCCAATCAAAAGAAACGAAGAACCTGTCCATGATCGTAAAG